ACTGCTCAAACTTCAAGTAGTATACGGCTAGCTTTAGGTTTCTGACCTGATACAACCATCCCGTTCACAGCTAAGGTAGAGCTATGGTAAGATATCAGCCCCTTGTTAATGATCCAAGTATTGCTGGTGATATAATGCCATATAGTGTATATCTAAGCTAACTCAACTAAACAATGGCTCAGTACCCAATCTGTAATATCAGCTTTACCACCAGTCAGAAAATTTACCAACAAACACCATCGTAATCCTCTAATTCAGAGGCTGATTGTTTGCCTTAAGTAAAAAAACATACACCTGACGCTTTCTTTTTTGTGATTTACTTCCCCCTCCCTATATCCACACTTTTCCTTGAACAGTCTGTTTCTTCCTTTGACACCCAAGAAACAGCTGCAGCTTGCCAAATCCATAGCCAAATATACCAGACTATTAACAGCGGAGAGTTGCTACCAGCAGGAGGTCAGGGCTGTGTGTTCAGGCTGCCCTACAATACGCCTTTCTTTCTGGATAAAGCAGGTGACAACATCCTGCTGGCAAGCTGCGCGTCTGGCTAAAAAACGTCCATTTCTGCTTTATGGCATCAGCAGATATAACTACCACCTATCTCTCCTCTCCGTAAAGTCTGGTCCGATTAGCTGCTGCAAGTCTTCATTAAACCGGCTCCTTTCCACAAAGCAGAGACAAAACCAGACGTGAATATTACTGAGCCCATTTAATTACGGCTTAGCTCTGGGAATTTCTGGGTTTAACCCTTAATCTACCAAAGCACTGTAAATTCCACTAGAACAAAGCGTTCGTTGCAAACACTGCACCCAATTATTAGGCGGTATTTTGTAAAGGTAACCTGTGGTCCTTTAGGTTCCATCTGCTGACAATTGAAATCTCTCATTACCACTCTATAGGTTGTTCTCAGACTAAAGGGATGCAAAGAAAAGAAGAATTAAAAGGTACCTACAGCACCCAATCAGAAATCAGCTTCCATCTGTTTAAAGTAATAAGAAGTTCTGATTGACTGATATCAGTGCACATTGCCTTTTTGTTTTATTAAATGCATTAGGCCGATGCCCTGTACTGCACCATGTATATTTGTGCGCATAAAAAGTTGCATATTGCACAGTGACAGCACACTATCATTGTACAGGAAGTAATACGGAGAGCTATAGTTGCTCACTGTATTGCTTCTCCTCTCTCCCCTCCGATCAGGAAGTGATCCCCTCAGGAGTGCAGCCACTGAGCAGGAGAGACGCTTATCAGAGTGAATCAGACCAACATGCAGATCTGTGCCTGGTCAGACCAGGCGCAGATCTGCGGCTATTATCAGCATTACCCTGTACTGCAGATATTAGTTTATAGGACGCAGAAACAGTGGTAAATCACAATTTGCGATTTCCCAGGTTTTGCCGCAAATCATCTTCAACATAGGCACTAAGTTGGTGATTTGACATATGACGATGGTGCATCACATGTGCAGAAAAAGAAGGCATAAAAACAAAAGTTTATGGGGGCCACTGTGGGTTGCTATATAAACACCTACATTCTCTCAGCAGCCTATATCAGTCATTAGAGGCGCATACTGTTTATATCACCCGGAGCTGGGAAAGCAGCAGTCGCACCAGCCCACATAACCCACAACACCGGGGTGTTGGTAAACAGCACACTGTCTGGATAGTCGGTTCAGCCTCTGGGGCAAACAACTCCACCCTGACTTAAGGATGCGGCTTTTTTCATGCTGGCACGGCTGAGCCATCAACATTAGCTAGATAAAAGCTGCCTAACGAACAAGTGAAATTGATATGTAAATGAAGCAACAGAAAAGAAGAGAAAAAGCAACAGCACTTCATCCTGTGTACAGTATCAAGCAGTGACATTGTCAGATGTCTTATGGAAATCAAATTGTGTAGATTATCTCACCCCTACTGAAACCCGACAGCATGCTGACTGCAGCAGCACTATGGCACCAGGTAATATTAAACACACAAAATAGATACTGCAGGGATTTGTAAAATACATGATCAGTTCTTATGTCAACAGAGGAAAATTGAAAAAATCTTTTGCACTAGACAAAGGAACACTCAGAGTGCTGACAAATGTCTAACAACAACCCGCCACCATTGTATTTGGGTGCTTATAGAGCTGCTAGGTGTGCCAATAAAATTGCATGTTTGCTGCTCGACCATGAAGTAGTAATAAAAAAAACTAATATAAAACCATTGTGAGGATTATGTGAAAAAAATAACTACTTGAACACAAAGCAAACATAAAATATGGAGATAAAGTACATATAAAGGGAGCAGTTTTATTTGCCCAAAACAAATGCATTTCTGTCCATCCTGTTTTGAGATTTATACAGCTCTATCACACACCACAGCTCTGTCTGGCAAGGGAAGAGACCTAATCTTTCTTTACTGCGGTTCAGTAACATTTATAGGCCATGTCCCTTCCCCAGCTTGTCATTTGCCAGTGAAAGGAAAGTAACAGACCGGTAACCTTATCTATATGCCACACTGCTCTCGCCTCCTCTTTGCGCTGCAGCACAATTGACTGGCTCCAGGGGCGCCCGAGGCCGGGTATCACCCAGAGCGGTTACCGGGTGACGTGATGTCACCGTGCATGTGCACGATGACGTCATCACGCATGCACGGCGATCTTATTGATACCTGCCGGTGGCCATCTTGTCAACCGGCGGGATAAGGTATGCCGCCGGGTCCCCTCCTCTCTCTTATAACTGAGAGTGGGGTGTCACCAAAATGACTGTCAGTCATTTTGGTGTCACCCTTCCAATGGTGTCATCCAGGTGTGGGCCGCACCCCCCTTGTGACGCCACTGACTGGCTCACTTAATGTTTGTCTTTTTTATCTGCTTAGCGTTCAGCTTTAAATTCAGAAAGACTAACTAGATGCCTACATGGCATTTGGCAAGCATATGGAAAACAGCAATCGGATCTCGGCTTAGCAGAAAAAAATATCAGTCTATATAGCACCCTCAGAAAGGGCAATTAATTAGGGAAGTGATTGTTTATGCTATTTGGTTTCATCTTTTCACTGGGCATCGCACAGCACAATGCCAAAATCCGGGCTGACTTTGAACAACCAACAGCTGTTCAAAACTATCTGTCGCCTCTCTTAGGGTAAAGACTTGTTCAATTTATTTACACACTTTCTGTGCTAATTGGTGTATCCTGTGTCCCGCAAGCTGTGATGTGATGGAGAGAAAGAACAAGAGGTGACTCGTTTTGGGTAACTGATCCCAAACACGTTTTGTTTATGTCTGTTGGCACAGCCAGAACTGTTGAATCCTCAAAAAAAAAACCCTAAAAGCGTTTAGTAGAGCCTCCCTGCACCCTCCCCCAGAAAGTGAAGGGAACAAGAGGACCAACAGAGAGCCTTTCTTTCCAGCTCTCATACGTTGTGCTTTCTTACATCTCATCGGTGATGGATTGTGATTGTGATCTGCTAACTCACTCTGGTGTTTGTGCACATGATCCATTCCAAACTTGAGTCTCAATGTTTGGGGAAATTGATATTTTCACTTTGTAATAGTAATATTATTAAATATGGTTGACTTGTGATAGAAGTCTCCTGCCAAACGCTTACAGGTCCTATACTCAATGTCCTAATCATTGTTTAAGATTAAGGAATATTGCAAATAAAAATTTGCTAATTTTCTAATCTGTCCCGGAAACCTACTAGTTGGAATCGGATTGGTTTCCATGAGTAAGATGTCGCTTTCCCTTCCGTTTTTAAAAATTAGACATAAGTGTATAATGTGTTAGCTAATTATATAGAAAATGAGCTTCCTAACCAGTCTGTATGTATGGTCCTCTCCAGTCCCTTGGATGGCTGTGTTTTACTTTAGCCATTGGTCAATATATCTTAAAGCATATCATTCTATTATTTCATAATGAGGTAAAGATACCTATTGTTGAAGATACTGTTAGTGATCATTTAAA